GTGAGCTGTGACACCACAGCACTCTACCCAGGGCAACATGGTGAGAGTCTGTCTCAAAAAAAAAAGAAAAGGAAAGGAAAATTGCAGAAGCGGGAGGGTCTCTCTGACCTTCTCCCCATCTCCTCTCAACTGATGTGGGCCAGAGAAACCGGCGTTCCTCCCCCTGCTCTTAAGAAGGTCTGACCTTCTTCCTTTCTCTTGAAGATGTGTGACACATGTTCTTCCTGATACCCGGAGGGAATACATGTCACACTGGGACTCCAGGGGGAATCTGATCGCACAGGCCCTGCTAAGTTCCCCCCAGTCGTCACCACCAGATCACACCCCTGGGCCCCCAATCATACTTCTGCATGACTGCCCATCAAAATACAGTTTCCCGGGGTCTTTGGATCTTCATTTCTGAAGGTTCCCATATCACATAGAACTTATGCTAAATAAATCTGCCATGCTTTTCTCTTGTTAATCTGTCTTATGTGGTAGGCGTGTCGGTTATGAGCTGTGGGATAGGTGAGGGAAACATGCTACTTCTTCTCTCCACCATGGACAGGGTGTTTCCCTCTTGCTCATCTCGCAGCCCCAGTGCCTGGGAATCACGGGGACCCCGAGTGAAGGGACAAAGGATTGAAAGGAGTGTCCTTCTCCCTAATTTTCGTCAAGGTTCCATAGATAATTTTTTTTTTTAGACAGAGTCTCACTCTTTCACCCTGGGTAGAGTGCTGGTGTCATATCTCATAGCAACCTCAGACTCTTCAGCTTAAGGAATCCTCTTGCCTCAGCCTCCCAAGTAGCTGGGACTACAGGAGCCTGCCACCATGGCTGCTAGTTTTTCTATTTTAGTAGAGGCAGGATCTGGGTCTTGCTCTGGCTGGTCTAGAGCTCCTCAGTTCAAACAATCCACCTGCCTCAGCCTCCCAGAGTGCTAGGATTACAGATGTGAGCCACTACACCGGGCCAGAAATGTCTTTCTTTATAGTTAAATCAGAGTGCCCTACTCTCATCTCTCCTTAAAATATCTTCACCTTCCTAACCTTAAAAAAAAACCTGCACCAAGAGTCCACAAAGTGTTCATAGGTGTGTATATGTATACACACATATAGCCACACAGTCCCTTGCTCTTGTAAATAACAATAATAAAAACAAATAATCACGCACTAGGCACAACAATGTGTGACAAGAGATGAGGACCCAGGGAGAGGTAGGTTTGGGGAGTGAGAGAGGCTGAACCCAGTTACAGCTGTATCGTTTTCTGGGTCAAGTAAAATTGTGCAGAAGTTTTCAAACCTATAAAAAGAAAAGAAGAGGCTCCGTCTTAATTCCAAAATCGCTTCCTCATCCTGCCTCTGCCATTTACCCAGCCTAGTGCTACATTGTGTACATGGAAAATGGGTTTCTCTTCCCAGAATTATCGTTGGAAATAAAACCATTAAGAAGAATAATGCATTGGCAGATAGACAGGCTTTCATTTCAGGAAATCTGGCCTCGTATTGGAGGAATCGCATGTGTGTGGAAGAAGCACGGGTACAGGTGAGGGTGGCACGCAGTGAATGCTGGTCTTGGGACATGTGTCCCTCTGCCAGGCCTTCAGCTCCTCCTCCCACGCAGGGAGGGGCCAGACTGCTCAGGATGCTAGAGCTGATACGGCTAGCCCACTCCTTCTGGGCTCATACCTAGAGGCACGAAACCTGTGCCACCGATAGTGTCCTCTGAAGAGGTTGACAGTGTGGGCATCCCAGGCAAGATGCAAATGTAGGGCGCCCCCGAGGTCCCTTCTCTTTCACCCTGTCCCCTCTAGTCTACAGATAAGCCTCTAGATAAGGCCACAGATACCACCAGTTCCTGGCATGGGGGAGAAGCCAAGGCATCTAAATGCCTAGATACCTGTCTTCTTCCAGTCAAGTCCTTCTCCAGCACAGAGAAGTTCAAGCATGAGCGAGCAGCTCTGACAGAAAGGGAATTCCCACCCACCCACCCACCTCTGCCCTGCGCACTTGAGACCATGGAAATTCGCACCAGACATGCTTAAATTTGCTAAATACATTTCACACTTTCAAAAATCTAGACTTCCTATTACAATGTTCCATGCTTTTTTGGTACAAGAAGTGGATATTGAAAAGTCTCACTTTTAAAACTAGGGATTCTTTTTTCATTCTCCAGAGAAAGCCAGAGCATGTGTGACCTCCAGCACCCTTGCAGATCCCATCACTGACAACCCTGAATTAGGATGAGGCCACCTGCTCAACTGAACTGAAATTCATTGCTATGATCCGGGTATCAAAAACCAGGATGCTTTTTACCAAAAAAAAAAAAAAAAGACAAAGGCTCTGCGAATTCCTTCTTCCTATTGATGACAATATTTATTGAAGGATACCTTTCAGGACTCAGAGCCAAGAGGCCAGGTCACTCTGCCCAGATTACAGAGGCTGAATGACCTTATTCTACGTACAGTACAAAGTGACGGCCCACCCACCTGGGGCCTGAGGCATACCGGGTCATTTCTAAACAATGGAGGACAAGGTTGGGCCACTGGAAGCCATGCAAACCCAAGCTGCAAAAATGAGTCTAGCCTCCGGCCCATAGGCTGGAGGTGGCAGGTTCAAACCCAGCTAAAAACTGCAAAAATAAAATAAATAAATAAATAAAAATGAGCCTAGGCTTACCCGTTCAAGCTGTGCTCTTCAGTCTCTCAGAGGAGCCACTTGCAAGTCAGCTCCACTTAAAACCCTTGGCTCAGGGACATCTTGTTGCTTTGTTACCCAAGTCTGTAAAACTCTTAGAATAACTGATGATGAAAATCCCAGCCAACTTTTTTTCTCTTTATGGGGTGGGGGGCAAAAACCCAATGCATGAGTCTATTTGAAATCATTTTATGAATTTTAATCATAGCAAATGTGTTTTAACAGTAGTCATAAAATCAACATTACCACATGTACAAAGGACAAGACACCAGTTTGGCATACAAAAATACCATATATTAAAATTGGGTTCATTGGAAAAACTCAGGACTGGCTAAGACACCATCTGTAACAGAGAGAGCAAGCAGGAATGCTTTTAAGACATTCAGATTTATAAACAGCAGCTTGATATCCCCTTTACGAAGTCAATATTTGGCAACATTTGGACAATATTTTCTCCACAGCCCAGCAGCTCATTTATTTGTAGGGCTATTTGGCCCTCAAAGGAAAAAAAAAAAGCTCCTAAAATAAATAATCCACATAATTGTAAATGAAACATGTCAAGGACTTGAGTTAACAGCCTCCAAGCAGCATTGATCTAGATATTTGACTGGAGTATTCATTATCAAGGGGGCCAGGGAACCCACCACGGAGCTGTCTGCCTGGAAGGACCCCGGGCACCAGCTACGTGGCATAGGTTGGGAGTTTGTAACCACCCCATGCTGAAACCAGCTTCCACACCTGGAACTGTCAAGTGAGGCAAACATGAACAAGGGGTGGAATAAAAAATATATAACAAATAAAAAAATACATATATAACAAATAACAACCACCAGGCTATTTTCCCAACAGTATTAACACACTCAAGTCAGGATAGATCCACATAAAAGGCATTGTATCCCACCATTAAGAGGACGCTGGAGTCTGTACCATCTCCAGAGCAGGCTCCAAAATTTTCCAGCGTGCTGAAGACCCGAGCCAAGAGCACAGCCTAGGATGGTAGGAAAAATGGGGCCTCCCTGGACTCTCTTGTCAGCTGAGCAGTGTCTTCAAAGCAAGTGTCCTAACTTGAATTTGACAGCTCGTACTGGAATGAGAGGTTGTTATTGACTAAATTGTCTTTAGTTGTCCCATACTTCTTTCTCCAGCTGGTTTCTGCCATGATGGACCTTCAGCTCTTACGATGAGTTATCTTTATTAAGTATTTCCTTACTCTCTGGGCTTATCTGCCTGTCTGTTGATACAAACCCAGGGCTTTGTCTCTACCTCTCCCACAGAAGGTCTGCTTAATTACTAGGTTGCCTCTCAGCCAGGAAAAACCTCGTGGGAGAAGCACAGTATAGGATATCAGCTATTTACATAGAGGTAACAAAGATATCAGCTTGTTCCTTTTTAAGAAGCCTCTCTTGTAACTTTCCCCTTCTTTTTACAGCCCGTATTCCTCCACCACCATCCTATCAACTGTCCACTTCTAGATTCTCAATAAACAAATGTCAAATTAAAAACTGACCATCCTTTGGAAAACTCTTGTTAGAACCCGATAACTAACATTCAGGGAGATGACAAAAGACTTTCACACAGGCTACCAGCTCCACATCCTGTAGTGCTGAATTTTGTTCTAGAAGAACAAAGGCAGTTACAGGGGACACCCTTAGAAAAACAAAGAAAATGCATGCTGTTGTAGACTTCAAGAGGGCCCTCGGTACTGTGCCCCAAATATTACTGACCGTCCCTAAAAATGTAATCATATGAACAGTATCAAAACCCTTAGATTAGAATAATAAAACCCAGCTAATGAGGGATGAGTGTTTCAAGCACCACTACATTGTGAGTGAGATATACATAATGGGATACCCCAGGCAGTGAATCCTGAAAATAAAATAATAATTGGCTCCACTAGGCAAGGAAATTTGTGTAGAAAAATGAGAGCCACATTGCAGAAGTTCGGGAATGATGGAACCTTATCCCTGACCACTTGAGCAGAGCCAAAAAAACAAGATATTTGGAAGAAATTAAATGCCCCACCCACATGCCCCATTATTTCTCAATGATCAGTGGCTTTCCAATAAAGTGTACCCGGTAGAACCCACCTCTTCATGTACTTGAAAACTCTCATGTTCACACAGACACTCCCAAAGGTAGCTGGGTTGGCATAATGTATGCAGCCCCTAGCAACTATTAAGAAATTAACATCTAAATTCAACATTATAAAACTACAAATTGGAAAACACATTATTTTTATTTGATTTTTAACTCCAATGACAGCTAAATCATGTGTCTATATGACTGTGTGTGTGTGTATATATGTAGTAAGTCAATTCTATCAAAAAAAATCAATGGCTTTAATTTCCATTTATTTTTTAGAAATGTTTCATGTGGAACAAAATCCAGCAACTGATCATCATTGCTTGTGAAATAGACTATTACTTTCAAAATACTTAGAGAATCATGGGACTATTTCACTCTTCTCTAGAGTTTGTTTCGATAAGAACTACCTTGTGGGTGACAATCTACTGAGAATGATGGAAATGTCGAGCAGCAGCCTCTCTATCTAGGTCAAGGATGACAGATCTACTGATGGACACTTCTTGCGAGGAAACAAAATGCTGACTTGGTGGTAGCATCACTTTTCTGAGGGAAGATAGAAATGGAAGTCTTTTGCATATCACTCTTCTCATAACACTAATCTTTGGACCACTCACTTCCTTTTACATCTAAAGAAAAACTGTCATTTTGGCAAAACTTTTCAAATTATTTTTAAAGACAAGCTAAAAAGAACAGTCTTACCCCACTGATGAGTCTCAAGAGAAAAAAAAAATCAACCCCAATTCTGCTAAATGGAAGGAAAAGCATTGGGTTTACATTCCATTTGGAAAACAATGAAAAGCAGAATAACCGATTTTGACACAGGACAAGTTTTCAGATAAGGGGATGGGAACTCTACAAATCAAAATCTAGGCTGGAATAAATACCAGATTACCTGCAAGAGTCTGAAAGTTACATGAAAATATATCTGAATTCTCTGCTTTGTTGCTGAAAAAGTAATTCTAGTAGCTTTAGTAACCTTCAAGTTTTTAAATTTCATGGGCAATGTTCTCCACTGTTTGAAAAAAATGTTTTTGTGCAAAGCCTCAAATCTTTTAGTGATAACTAAAATTAAAAAGGAGAGAGACTAAAAACAATCCTGACTCTAAAAATAGTACCAACGTTTCAGTCTGGCATCTGAAAAATGATGCCCACATATGCCCACACCAAAGAGAATGACAAGCTGGCAGGCCTCAAGGACGTATAAAAAACACTCTGAACCCCGCAAAACATGCTTGCTCTTAATGTTTCACAGCAATGATGTTAGGGTAAGATATTTGGAAGTGAACAGGGATTTCATTCAGCTTTTTTTTTTTTTTTTCTGTAACATTTACTTTTTGGCCACAAGATCCCAAACACAATTCACAGAACAGATCATGCATAGCTTGCAAGTCAAACATTTTACAGCTACTTTCTAACTACTATTTTTAGACAACAGATTCACATGCAGCTAATGATTCCAGAAAGGGGGCTTAATAAAGCACGCTGTAAGCTTCACTGATCATTCCTTGGCCCAGAGTGCATTAGCAAGTAACCCCAAAGGGCAATCAATAAATTTTTACTGTCATACTTGAGATCACATATTTTTTAAGGCCAGAAAGACATGTTCTTTTTTTCTTTTTGCCAGCTGCTTGTTACTTAGCCTACAAACTCCCTTCTTGGCCTTGCTGTTACTCCATTAAATACCTTGATGCTAGATCCTCATGCAAACCATTCAGACTGAGTCTTACAACACAGTAGCCACTAGCCACATGGGGTACTTAACTTTAAATACAATTTAAAATCTAGTTCCTTCCTCATACTAACCCCTCGAACTGCTTGATAGCCAATGTGGCTAGTGGCTACTGCAGTGGACAGTGCAGGTTAATAGAATATCTCCATCATCACAGAAAGTTGATTGAACAGTACTGACCTACAAGATTCTATGGACTGTACCAGCAGGTGGTATGACCTTCAAGGGACCCACTCTGTAAGCCACGCACAACATTAAACTTAATTATATTTTTAAAGAAAACACCTTAGAGCTTTTTGATCACTAAGTATGACTAGAACTGAAACCAATTTGCTTTTTCATCACAATGGCTTATGCCCCAGGTCATTACACAAAAATTTTCCAAAGACAATGCTTTTTGGTAGCATACTCGGCTCTAAATAACACAGTAAGCATTCTCTTGCTTTTGCCAAGATCATTAATAAAGATAAAAATTCATGCTTCTTATAGATTACTATTTACACAACACTCATTGTCCTTTACACATAAAGGGGGGAGGGTGTGGACACCAGTGTTTTGCAATTTTTTAAATTCAGACCACACAGTGATAGTTTTCTTTCAATGTCTATAACCATCCCTAAGTCAACCCTCCTTTCCCAGAGAGGTAGATGCTAACTAAAATGAATACATAAACCTGCAAAAATCCTTAAAGCGATAGTTAACAAGGGTGTTCAACAACCCTGGAAACAATCAGAGCCACAGAGAGTTGTCAACAGGTCTAGGGAGGAAAGCGAGGATTCTGCAATGCAAAGTTCTGGTCCCCTTTTGCTGGGGAGGGACAAGCTGCAGGCCTCAGTGGGCTCTTCTATAAAATGAAGCCACCACAGGTTACTTGCAGCTCTAACGTTCTGTGCTTTCTACTTGTGACTTTTCATTGATGTGCAAATATGAATTCTGGTTGATGGTGTCACTGTCCAATTCAAATATGAATTCTGGTTGATTGTGTCACTGGACTTCGGTCACATGGGGCTGATGCTTTGTTCGTGTCATTGGTAAATGCCAGAAGAGGCCAGCGCAATGGGATGCCAAGTTACAGTAAAACATCATAGGCCTATAAAAGTTCTACCTAGCAGGCTGAGACCTCTCTTATCTCTCTCTCTCATACACACACACACACACAAATGCACATCCTAACAAGCAAGTACACAAATAACTGCAGGCGGAATCCATTTAAACAATGTTTCTTATGTCAGGAAGACACACCAAAAATTCTCATTTTGGTCGTTAATTGTTAGGATAAATTGTAAGGTCAAGAATCCACTGCACTGCAGATTAATTTTGCCCCGCTTAATTGCAGCTCTAGCACAGGACTGCCTTGTAGGTAGAAGTTCTGTGGACATTTTTACTCTATAGTTTTGCACTAAAAAACACAGGACACTGTATCATCACACACATTAGTGTCTATATATAACCTACTTGCACAAGTAGAACTCTATCACATAGATCACATCTACAGGGTCAGTCATTTCATACTGTACACAGATATATGCAGATATCACTCACAAAATTAGTTTGAATATGGCATAGCTCAAAATTGCAAGGGTAAAGTCCATTTGAAAGGTAGTAATTTTAATACAACATTTCTGTAGTGTATTTTTTTTTCCCCTCCAAGAGAAATAGAAATTAGGTCAGACATGCATTACAGCAGCCTGGGAGAGTTTGAGAAATTGACACTAACCCAACAGTATATTATGTTACATAATAGAGGATAGTATTCAGCTAATATGATACCTAAATTATTAATACCAAATAAATCCTAGATTACTGTTGTATAATGCCCAATAGCTTACACAATAAAATGGCATTTTAACCTAATTTCTAGTTTGAGCTTTCAAATACATTTCCTAAAGGTCTTACCTGACAAATTTGAAAATGCTGAAAAACCGGAGCTCATAATTCTATATTGAGTTTTCATGCCAATTAAGTGTTAGATTTGTAGTGTAGGCATTGTATTTTTGTTTTATTTCACATTAATTCCATCACTTTAATATGCCCATTTTGTGCTGCTTGAAGATAACAGTCAGCATAGAAAATAAATAAAGTGTCCGGCCTCACAAGCCTAGTATCTAGCCTTGCTTTTCGGAACCAGTCACTAGTTCTCCTGGCTTCACCTTCCCTCCCCCTCCCCGCCATTTTCAGGGATTCAGTGGAACATAAAAACAGTTATATTTATGAGTGGAGTCCTTGTCACACACCACTTGCCTCATGAATCCCACAAAAGAAATGAGATGAGAACTGTCAAGCTCAAGCTATTTCTGAATGCACACACTCCCAGAGACGGGATTCATGGCTTAATGCTCGCAGATCTTTCTTCGTAATCATCTATAGACCATTGCACATTTCAGAATATTTGACAGTCTATGAGGAATTGGTCCACTTACATTGGGAATATGAGTTGTTCATCTAACTTACCACTTTTCTCAGTAAAAGCATATACTTAAATACAAGAGATTTCCCCCACTTAAACCAACAAGAGAAAACTAGAATTCTAGCTGGTTTGACTCTCATGAAACAACATCTTTCAAGAAATAATCATAGACAGGCTATTAAAATGCCCGTGTGGGTCTGCCAGCAGTTTATGACACTCATGGCCATTAAAATACGCTAAAATGGGGAGAAAAGACAGATTATTCTGTTACCCTCCGTGTATGTCTTTGAAAATACAAGATTTTATACACGGAAGAAGAGCAAGTATGGGGTATGGGAGGGAACGTGGGGCAGACTCCTCCCTGGGAGGGTCCAGGGGTCCACACAGTGATCACCATTTCCCACACTGGTTTCATTCATGCCGTGAAGTCTTAACTCCTGGGATGCTTCTGCAAAGACTCAACCACCTGAGGTAAATCAAATTAGACACACACACACAAATACACAATATTTACATTTGAAATTCTCATTCTGTGAGATGGCTTGAGAAAAACTGGCATACATACAGGTTTCCTGTGGGATTAGGCATTTCTCATTATTTCTAGGTTTATTGCTCCCCTGTTGGGCTTTCAGTTTAATAAGCGCGGAGCGAGCTCTAATTACAAGTGAGGAGAAATGAAGGTGCGGGACAAAACACAACACATTGGAGACATTGGTTCAAATATTTTCTCTAAAAAACGGTTGTCCACTTAACTTGTTCTGATTTGGGTGCCATTCAAAACGTATAAAAAGCCTCTGCAACTAAATGAAGATTGGGTTTCATTAAAAAAAAAAAAAAAAGTGAAGAAGCCAGGACTGCATGTCTTCACTGCATTTTTACACGGATTCGCAGGTTTGAATCTACTTGTTTACACAGCATCTTTGTTTTAATCTACCGCATTTAGAGAAGATCAACATTGTGCACACTTGGACAGTTTCACGTCTAAGTAGAGTACGTCTATCTCGGAACATGATTGTGAAAATCATAAATTACAGTCCATTTGATACATGATTATGAGAAGGCATGCAATCATCTTCAAAGCCGTGGCCGTTAAAACTCAGAACAATTTGCTTGGCGTCTTGTAGAGACCTCACCTTCTGCCCTTCACGTCGGTCTTGGGGTGAATCAAGGGACAACCCAGAGGCCAGCACTCGGCACCAAATGGTCAGTGTCACCCCCCTTCTTCTCCCCGGGATCCCGTCACCAACAGCTGCTCAACCCCTAAGTTGGCACCCACAGAGACTTCCCCACGGTCCCTTCAGCCGCAGGATATCACAGTGAAGCGCTTAGAAATGCAGGACATGTTGTGGAGCACGATGCCCAGCAGGAAGACCAGGACGCAGGCCACCAGGATGACCGTGCACACCCCGGACCAGGTGGAGCTCTTCACCACGCCCCGCCGGTCCTGCTCCTCCTCCGCCGCCTCGGGGGCCGCCCCGCCCTGCAGAGGCTGCTGTTCCGCAGGGATGGTCACCACGGTGACAGACTTCTGCTGGCTCCCGGGCAGCAGGCGGCAGCCCATGTCTCCTGGCAGCAGCGCGCGCTCCTTGGAGATGGGCAAGGGCAGCATGTAGCACCCGTTGCTGGGAAGTTTGATGAAGACTGGAGTGTGCTCGGAAGTGTGCGGGATGGCTATGACGGCCAGGACCTCAGGGTCGTCGGGGAGCTGCGACACGGAGAAGCCCGGGGGCAGCTTGGTGATGCCTCGGCACCAGGGGCACCTCACGTCCTTCTGGCTCGTCCTCATCTGCTGGAGGCACACAGAGCAGCAGGTGTGTTTGCAATCCAGTAGCTTGGGCCTTCGCCGGGGGCTGTAGTAATTGAAACAGATCTGACACTCCAGCAAGGAGTCCTGGGAGAGCGTCTCCATGGCTGACCGTGAGCTGGTGGGCAAGGCCAAGGTGAACGAGCTGGTTCTCAGAGGCCACCACTCAGCGCCTTCCCCGAGCTGCGAGCTCACAGGCTTCTAGCATTTGCAAGTGCGTTCATGTCTGAAGGAGACAAATAGTACAAACAAAAGTTAATTACTCCAAAGAAGTTGAGATGTCAACACATTTAAATTGCTCGAAAGTCTGGACACTGGGTCAAAAGCTGAAAAATTTCCCACTCATGAAGCCATGGGAGTCCTGTACCGTCCAGAGGAAAACAAGTGAAAGTTGTCTTGGATACAGCCTGTCAGAGCAAATGTTCTGCTCATTGTAAAAGCAGCGAGCACGGGCAGCAGGTGCAGTGAGCCTCCCAGCTTCAGGCAGAGGGTCTATGGTTTCTGTTTTGTACATTTCAGCCAACCCTGGGTTGTCCTTCTAACACAGAATGGAGAACTTCTCTTGCTTCCGCTAATAGCATTTCCTAGAAGTAAATTTCTTTCCTTAGATCCTCTGACTGTTCACCTGCCTCTACTTACCCTCCTGCAAGTCTTAATCACCAGATTCAAACAACTTCCCAAACCTAGATGCTACATCACTTTCCATCTGTGGGTGAGGACTGTAGGTGATTAAAACAACACTGCAAAAGAAGCATAGGAAGGCATCTTTGTCTTCCCCACCAAATCATAGGAACCAAGGTAATTTTTATGAATTGGTTTTAAAAGATATAATAAAAACACAACAAAACAAAAACTCAAAACCCCACCACCAGATGCAGAGGTGAATCCTAAGGCAATGAGGGTCCCAAAGGTACATTCATCACAAAAGCATCCCTAACATTTTCCAGCTTGTTATTTTTATTTCATTACTATTTAAGCTTGTACCAAGTAACATGACTAGAAGCTGGTATAGCTGACCCTGAACAACACTGATTTCAACAGTGGGGGTCCACATAAACACCAATTTTCAAAATAAACACAGTTGGCCCTCCCTACAGGTGCACTCCACATCTACAAGTAAGGAAAGATCACAAATACAATATTTGTGAGATGTGAAGCCACGTATAAGGAGGGCCAACTCTCCATATCCTCAGATCTGGCAGGGCCCACTGCGGACTTGAGTATTTGCAGGTTTTGGTATTTGTAAGTGGGCCTGGGACCATTCCCTGCAGATGCAGAGTGAAGATTGTACTTTTAATTCACTACTGAAAACCAGATATTATACAGTAGAACCTCCATAGTTGACCACCTCCTTAAGTTGACCTAACTTTCATAGACCAGACACGCATGACAGGTATGTGTCAGTACAGTGGCCTAGTTCCTTATGTTGCCCACCTCCATATGTTAATCAGTTTGTTTCAGTCCATTGGGTGGTCAACTTAACAGAGATCCTGCTATACAGTGAAAGGTTGTCAGGGAATACTGGTGAGCATCTCTCACTGTTCAATACAAGAGTAGTGTTAGCACCCTTGTATGGAGAGGAGGCAGAGTAACTTAGACCAACTTAACTGAAGATGGGAACCCCTCTGGTGCTCCAATGGACTTTCAGTAAAGGCTCTGCCCAACTCTGTTTCCTACTGAAATAAGCCAAATCATAAGTCTTGGGATAGAGCTATGATGACTTTGGGAAGAACTATTCAACCACCGTTGTAGAAATAATTGCTAGTCCTAGAACCACACCTACACTCAAAGGTGGGAGCTAATGACAAACACAAAAGCTCCTCCACAGTTTTTTAAAAGGTGAATTTTTTTCCTTTTTAACTTTTTGTGAAATTAAGGAAGCACTCCCTCCCTATGGTATATCATGTGTTAAGATCAAAATTAAGGATGCAGAAAAAGCAAATCACCTTAAAACAAAAAATAATCACTGCTAAAAATCAGGTGACAATCAAAAGACCAAGCTATTTTAAAATACTTAAATTCAAAGCACCCAAATTAAGTTACCAAAAGTAAAATATGTTAATAGAGCATTCAGAAAGTTCAATGTCAGGATTATCTACATACCTATCAACTAACTGAGGAAGTGTTTTCACACACAAAGCACAACACTAAATACTGTAGGATATAACACAAAGCCAGATCCTACTCATGAATGACTTAAAGTTAGGTAAGAATGAACAAGTAAATTTAATTTTTCTTTCCTTCTTTTATTTATTAAAATATTCATTGAATATCTAGTATTTGTCCAGCATTACAGTATTTATTATTGTCCCTTGTAACTAAAACTTGTTACTCTCCTATGAGAAAATACCAGCCTCAAGGCAGAACCTCCAAGTACTTAAATAATCGTAACATAAATACTAAGGAGCTGCAGGAACCTGGGATGGCTTTGTGAAACATCGGGATGATAGATAGGAATTAGATAGACTATTTCAGGTTAAGAAATCAGCATGGGCAAAGGAAAAGAGGTGAATGGTTACAGAATTACTTCTATACTGTAACTGTGACATTGGCTAGAGGATTGTTTTCTAACACTAGAGAAACTTACAGATGTCTTCTCGATAAGAATTTTACAGGTTTAGCCCTTATGTTTAGGTCTTTGATAGAGATGACTTTTAAAGAAATAAAACTCACAGAGATCCTACAAGCACCACACCCAGATGGGGACAGTAGATTCCACTAGGAGAGAAGACATGAGCTTGGTCATGTGCAGGCCACAGTCTGGGGAATGTGGACAGCCTTGAGTGCCAGGCCAAGGGGACTTTAGAGTGGGCAATGGAAGAATACCAAAAAAGGTTAAGAGTAGGAGAATTATTCACTCCAGGTAGGCTGGACAGACCTGTTGGGGGTCTCCTATAACATTTGGTCAAAAGGCCATGAGCAGGTGAAGAGAGTAACAGCCATTAGGCTGCATACAATGAGACCTGTCAGGAGGTCTATACAGGATGGAGTGAGGTATGAAGACTAGGATGGTAGCTTAGAGCAGCGGCTCTCAACCTGTGGGTCACAACCCACAGGAACTGTATTAAAGGGTTGTGACATTAGAAAGGTTGAGAACCACTGGCTTAGAGGGAGGAGGACAGAGGCATGCTTCATTTTACTTTTAGAACAGAGAAATTTGAGCAGGGGCACAAGGAGGGGCACAGGAGGCAGGTGGAGGTGCTCAAAGCCAGATAGCCTGGTCTGTGCCATCCGGTGTGCTGACTCCTAGGCACAGGTGCTGGTGGAAGCTAGTGGGCAGGGCTCAGAAACGGGAGCCCTGGATGACGACAGCAAGGAATGTGTTCTGGCTGCAGAAATCCTCAACCTGAGTAGTACAAGTCTTCTAACTTTATAAGCCAGGTAACGTACTTATTTTTTTCTTAAAAAACAAAAACAAGGCTCGGAGCCTGTGGCTTAAGAGGCTAAGGCGCCAGCCACATACACCTGAGCTGGTGGGTTCTAATCCAGCCAGGGCCTGCCAAACAACAATGATGGCTGCAACCAAAAAATAGCCAGGCACTGTGGCGGGTGCCTGTAGTCCCAGCTACTTGGGAGGTGGAGGCAGGAGACTCGCTTGAGCCCAGGAGTTGGAGGTTGCTGTGAGCTGTGATGCCACGGCACTCTACCCAGGGGGATAGCTTGAGGCTCTGTCTCAAAAAAACAAAACAAAACAAAACATAGGGTTCATTGATGAATCTTGCTCTTATCGATCCTCAGTGTTGAAGCTCATTGGCAGAGGTTAAGTGATAATATAGACAAGATGTACATGTGTGTATATGGGGGTGGGAAGAAGCAGAAACACCACAATTGGGGGAAGAGTACCCAAAAAGTACAGATTCCTGCAATTGTATGAATGTGGAGAGTCACTCCTTAGCAATCACACCCAGGACAAATCATTCTTAATGTAAATGTGGCTGGAGACAAAATGTTTCGTCACGTTAACATCACAACAGTGACCGCCAGTTTATATATTAACCTTCCTTCCATATTATTTACTTTACCTTCTGGCCACAAAGAATCTTGGGTTGAAACCCTAGCTGTCACTAACCAGCTATGACACCAGAGCAAGTCCCTTAACTTCTCGGAGGCTGCTTCCTGCTTCCTCTCTTTCCCCAGCCAAGCAGGGATAACAGGGCTGAGTTGTGGCTGAAGGTCAAGTGAGTTCGGAGAGTTCATATAACCCAGGGAAAGGGCTCAGAGAGAGCAGTACCAGCTCTCTCCGTCGTCTCCACTGGGTCCAGAGCTGGATGTTTTCTGCCCAGAGGCTCTTCTTGGCTATCAGAGAGCTGCCACTTGGAACAGCTCGGGAGGAGGGTAAGTGTTCTTCTTGGCCCTGCCCCAAGACATGCACACCATCATTTTTCACCAAAACCAAGAAGCAATGTTATTCATGAATTTATATTCCAAATAATGCCCTCTTAATTTGTGTTAAGCTCCCTTAAAATTAGATTATACTACTCACATCCCAGTGCCATTCAAGTTCTATGCCTTACAATACAAGCTGAGCACAGAAGCAGAATAGGAAAACAGTTCCTTATTTTCCATGCTCAGCCTGAGGAGCCATTTTGACAGCAGCCTCTTTGATTTATAGATGGATTTGTTTTACATGAAGCCAGCTCCTGTATTGCATTCTAGCTTATTTTCTGGAGCATAATTAGTAATGATGATGATTAGTTCGGTAAAGAGATGGAAAATGCATGAGGCTATGGACCGAAGCAAGTGATGAATCAATCTCTCCTTCTTCCATCAGAAAGTCTCAAGATGTGAGTCAACAACAGAAGAAGAGGAATGGAAACCAAGTCCACGTAGGCCAGAAAGGAAATTTGGAGTTCTCTGTCAAGTGTGTTATACAGAAATCCTACTGGTGACTGCTTTAGGAACCTGCTTTCCTTAACAGGAAGAGCAAGATGTGATACTCAAATAAAATACTCATTAAGTTTTAAAAGGAAAGGGCACTTTGGCAGAATGTATAAACACAAGTATGTAAGGAAATATATGGGAACAATTTTTAAATGTCACTACAATTTATTTTAAAAAGAACCTAAAGTGAAGATCAAAGAAAAAAATGGATCACAAGGAAAGGAACAGAGGCCCAGGGAGGACATTCTCCAAAAAATTATGGCTCACAAGACAGAACTTATTTTCAAACACACCTTCATAAAACAGTACTTAGTTATATAAAGAGTATCAATTGTATAA